GTACTGAGGGAGCGTGAAGCGTCCGTCAGGACCCCGAGAGATCAACTCAATATTAGCAGAAATGGGTGTTGAAGTTGTTCTGGTAAGACAACGCCTGTGCTGCTGATGCCGCTGCTGATGCTGCTGCTGATGCTGATGCTGCTGATGATCAGTGGTGGAGAAGAAACGGTGGTCTGTGTGTGAGGAGGAGGAGGAACAGGAGGAGGAGATGGTGGGGTAAAGGTTGTTGGTGGGGAGCAGGCTCTTCTTCAGAACACTGTCTGGACTCCCTGGGGTCTTTCTGTAAAGTAGAATGAGAGATAATGTAAATAAGAAGAACGGGATCCACGTCCACAACGACGGCAGTCGTCAACAACAAGAATCAAGACGCCAACAGTGACTGGTAGGTTTGTGAAACATCACGGAGAATTAACAACGTCTGGGTTTTATCTGCTGTCTAAACAGTGCTGAAGCTGAAGATGTTGACGAATCATCATTTTGTTGCCTGGATCCAAATTTAACAAAGTACCAAAAAGTACTTAGTTAGTAAGAGTTCTTCAAATAGTTTTTAATGAGGGGGATCTCACAGTGTTCCTGCTGCAAAAATGTCTACAACAATTAAACATGCAGCACAATTGACAATAAATTTAATCTAATCTAACAAAATACTTAGAGCTCAATAAATTAAGACAAAGGAAGGAAACTGACAAATTAGTAAAAGATGGACCTGAAAACCTAGTTTAGACAACAAATGTATACGAATATCAAAATCCAAATGTCCTGAATTTCAAAATGTAATCAGTGGGATTTAGCTTCTGTCTATGGTATGTGACTGTTGATGATGATGATGATGATGAAGCAGCCTTCACTGGTTTTCATGTGTTTGTTTTCCTTTAACCAAACCTGACAAGTGTGAAGCCTGGAACTAACTAAACCAACTAAATACTATTCACCTCCTCAGACGTGCACCATCGTGAACAGCTGGGTTTTTACACTTCTGTTCTTATTGTAATGAGGATGGAGCCTCAGTGAAACTTGGACTGAGATCAGAGCTGCTGCAGTTATAAGTCAAAATGAGGGTACAGGAAAAAAAGGAAGGTATTCCCTGGAGCTTCTGGCATTTTGACCAGATATTAATTTGTATGGAAAACAGAGAGTGACAGGTCAACAGGGGACGTCATGGTGAAATGAGACATTGGCACTCACAGTGATGGAGAGCATTTGTAGACGGACGGAGCCAGAGGAGGATCTGAAAGAAAAACAGAGCAGTTAGAACATAATGATGACAGAGAGGATGATAGTGATGATGAAGATGTTGACGATGATGAGGATAATGATGATTATTATAATTACAGTGATGGAGGTGTACACAACAACTGTAACATTGACATTTTCCCCTTGTAATTAATAGTAGTGATGCATTCAACTGACAATACAATATGATACACAATCTTTACTAAAGAAAGTGAGCTCCAGACAATAATGACCAAATACAATGATCTGTTATTTGTAAGAACTCTGTGAAATACCATTATGAAGTGAAATGGTCTAGTGTAGCTCATAAACTGAAATCATTATCTTAAATAACAGAAGCCAAAAAATGCTTCTTTACAGAAACACTGCACATCCCCATGTATCTCCTTTTATTAAAAGTCAAACTGGCCTGGTCTGATTTATCTCAGTGTCAATATATTAAACAACAAAAGAATATATAAACAATATTAACTGGAAAGAGTTCCTTTCTTATTAGAAACACTATTGGTGTCTGTAAAAGAAGTTCTTCCCACGTTCTGTTTGAACACCTGAATGTCACTTAGGCTCCGTAGAGACCTGACCTCTTCAATGGCAGGTCACAACAGATGTTTTAAGGCACATACTGCCACCTACTGTACCAGAGTGTGTGGTTTCATGGTGTGACCACTGACTTTTTGAGATAATGCAGCCTACTCCAATAACGATAATGTTGATGATAATAAGGACACCATTGATGGTGATGATGGTAAGAATGATTCCAGTGATGATTATGGAGCAATAATAAAGCAATAATAATGATGATGATGATGATAATGATGATGATGGTGATGGTGATGATAATGATGATGGCAAAAACTGTGATAATAATTATTACAGCGATGATTAACAATGGTGGTGATGAAGATGATGATGATGATGATGACACGGATGATTATTATGATTAGAACAATGATGATTATAATAGAATAATAGGATCCAAACAGAGCAGGAGGAAGTGAATCAGCCTGAGAAGAAGTCTGCAGCAGAACAGACTGATCCAAAAAAAGACCTCCCATTAATCAGAGCCTAATGAGGGATTACAGTAATTAGAGACCCGTGTAAGTGACATCACTTATTGTGGCAGCTACAGCACAGGAGTGTGGGCAGCAGAGAAACAGAGCAGAGGAGAGGCTGATCCAGGAACAGCAGCAGTGACGGATCAGAACCAGCTTCACTGAACTCCAGTTTCTCCTGCACCATGTTGGGGTGGGTTTCACACTGTACTAGTTGTTGGTCACATGGTGTCCACTCACATGAAGTATGGAGATAAACACCTCCTTACGACAAAGTTCACAAGTACATTTAATTAGTGACTTAGTGACCAGGAACATGTACTATAGAAGAACCTGTGGTTCCCCCGAAACCTGAAGACAAAGAGCTGAGACAACGGTGGAATTGTTTCTTTAGGCTTTACCGTTCCTCCTTCTGCGTCGGTTCCTCTTGTGGCTAATGATGCAGGCAGCGCTAAGCAGTAGGACCAGGAGCAGGAACATGAAGCCCACTCCTCCCAGTACTCCAGCCAACAGGGGCTCAGGGACGAACTCCAGCTGACGAGATGAACCAATGAAGAGCTCCATGCCTGAGGAGAAATAAAAAAAGAAATGGTGAGACTCAGCAGAAGGTTCCAGAATGAATCACTTTAAAAAAAACAGTGATGGTCAACGTAATGGAGATACAAAAGAAGAGTGAGGTCACACTGGAGTGGACAAGAAACAAAAGAAAGAAAACGACACCAACAGGAACACTGAGGTAGTGCAGCAGGTTCCTGTAGGAACTTTTATGAGAATCTCTGTTGTCATTGTACACACACACACAAATATACTGTGAACACAGAAATACACATACTCGAGGCACATACATATTGTGTACACCCACATACCGTATACACACACACACACACACACATACACACACTCACACTCTTCTGTTCAACCCATCAATAAAACAAACGTTTTGCTCTCTACTGCCCTCAGAGAGTGGCAGAGCTTTTGTGTTTGCTACACGCCTGCTGTGGATGAGAGTCAAACCAGCAACCCTCAGATCAGAAGCCCAGTCCCAAAGTTGTCCTATATTGGGATTGTACGTTTGTAGCGTAAACATAAATGATGAATCAAAGAGAGAACACAAACAGACCTTTGTTACTTCTAACCATAGACGTAAACCCTTCTCACATCCCAGCGCCAGTCATGTGACCCCGCCGTCGGAGCTCATCTGCATACTCATTTGATCCATATTTGAGATGAGATCATTTGTCTCTGAAGTCT